CAAGCTAGCTTGGCATGCTAGCCGTCGGCGGAGGCTCTTAATGGTGAAGCGGGCACAATGCCCGCACGAGCCGGGGTTATCGATAGCTTCCTGGGCGTGTTCCAGCCCAAGGCAGGACGAGCAGACCTGGTTTGAGTCCGTGCCTGAGATCTTAAACCCGCAGCCGCATAGCCAAGCCTCCGAGTCCCTGACTCCTCTGGTGTGAGGGAGAGAAGGGTCCATCTTTGTTCGCCAGGGTGTCGGACACTAGCGGACACGCTAGTAACAGGTACGTTACTGAGAAAAAAAATCCAACCTTGTCGTTAATCCGAAAGGAAAAAGCGACGGCGTAGATTTTATTCTTTAAAGAATATTAACTGGTGTGTTAATACCTTTTGTTTTTATCTCCGTCTCCTCTGGTGTGAGAGAGGAAAAGAGAACGTCCTCGCTACCGTGGTGTCAGTGTGGAGGGAAGAAAACCTAGCAACAGGTATGTTACTAGCTTGAAGAAAAAATCAAACCTTACCGTAATTTCGAAAGAAAGAAACGGCGAGGCAGATTACAATATTAACTGGTGTGATAATATTGTTCAGTCTTCTTGCAAAGCAAAATAGCAACCGGCAAGTGCCCGTCGACCGAATGTTAGCTTTGGGTTCAGTCTGTGGACCGTTAAGCTAGCCCGGCTACTGATAATTCGAGATGTGCTCTAAAGCGAGAAGAGGTGTTTGAATGACGCTGTGTCATAGCGCAAGCTACTTATAGGCAGTGTTGGGTGTAACGCGTTACAAAAGTAACAGAGTTACAGTAATATATTACTTTTTGCTGTAACGAAGTAATGTAACGCATTACTAATGAAATTTCTGAGACTGCCAAGGCACACNAAGAGGTGTTTGAATGACGCTGCGACGTAGCGCAAGCTGCTTAAAGGGTGGGTGGATTCCCTGACGTAGACGTCAAGATCACCAGCCAATCAGGATTGGCGTAATGAGATTGATGCTTCTGTTTGTATACGCGTTGAGGCGCATCCCATAGTGAGACATCGAACGAGTGTTATGAATGAGAACTTTACCATAGGAAAAAATTGGCATACAAATATAATCACTTCTCTAAAAGGTAACTCATTTTAAATATAGTTAAACATATTAAAGGTCATTTACAATAATAATAATAATAATGATATTAATATTAGTAATAAGCTTTATATTTGTATAGCACCTATTACAAGAATTGTAGCCAAACTCGCTTCACAGCAGTTCAATAGACAGATTAGTATAACATGACAGGATAAAAGCAATGTAGAGGAGCAGCTACATTTCAACACATATATCCACGAAGATTAATACATGAAGACTTGTAACTCAGACTTGACTCGGACACTCCTTGGGTGACTCGGACTTGGACTCGGACTCGAACACAGGTAATGATGACTCGGACTCGGACTCCAATCGGACACTCCTTGGGTGACTCGGACTTGGACTCGACTACGACTCTCCCTTGGTGACTCGGACTTGGACTCGGACTCGAAGAGTGGTGACTCGAGAGTTACTTGGACTCGTGAATTGGTGACTTGACTACAACACTGATATACCCTTACGAATAGGTTAATCTGAATTTTAACCTGTTTATCTAAAAGAGAAATGGCTGAGATGTAGAAAGGAATTCAAGAGGAGATTTTCTTGGCTGTTGCCACTGGAAAATGTGTTGTGGGGGGAAAAGTTCAGGGGGACGTTAATGATTGTTTTAGAGAGGGTACACAGATGTTTGGACGGGCAGACAGACACACTTATTATGTAAAGACAGTAACAGTTAACAGCCGGAAACCACTCACCACATTGGGGTTGTAAGGAGGAGTGATCCTCTTGTGGTCAAGGTCGTCCCAGTTGATCGGAGAAAAAAAGACGTGGTTCTTTATTTCTAACTATAAATTAAAAAAAGAAAGATAAGTTATACATGCGTACTGTACTGTATATAGTTTTAGTGACATGTGTTATTCCTCATATTAGGATTCCACATACTCAATTGAGTTTTCTGCAATTATTAATAAGTATGAAGGTGATCTTTGTATATTTTCCCGGAGGGACTGGGTTTAGATCTGTTCTTAGAAAAGATCAAAGCCACTCCACTAAAGCAAGTAGTCCTTCGATAAACAATTTGTATAAAAGTAGGAATAATTGTTTTCTGGAAAACCATCTGTTTTAACGTGGAGTGACGTTTTTTATTAACATAATACACTCACAAAGTCGGCGATGGCCCCGAGGCGCCTGTGCTGGTCTTTCTGCAGGAGCCCCTCCAGCAGAGAGCAGACGGCCTCAGACTTCCCAGGAGGCAGCGGCAGCGCCTTGTGGAGGATCCCATCATACATTTCACCCACATCACGGCTGTAGAAAGGAGGCTGAGGGGGAGGGATGGGTACAAGTATCATTAAATGATGAAATGCAATTTAGCATTGTATATATTATATATACATATATATTATATAGTCAAACTTTCCCTAGATGTTTCCACTTGTAATGAAGCAAGTTAATGAATGGTCATTATTGATAGGACCATGACTTGGGACCATAACTTCAGCCTTTAGCCAAGAAAGCGGCTATACAATGCTTTAATTAGCATCAGTAAGCTAACATGACTATATATTTATATTTAGTATATATATATATATATTTAAGATATAGTCATATTTAGCATTTTGTCGACATGAAATGTAATGGAAATGTATCCAACTGTTGATACATTTTAGTGTACACCTACGTGGGACTCTGAATAGCCAGTGAGTCTGCTTAATATTTATGATCCCAAGAGGATAGCTCCTAATATTTTAGAGATGCTCTGACCTTTCTTTAGCACCATCACCAGGTAAAACATTATACTTGTATTTGTAGTACTTGTACTTGTAGTACTAAATGTTGTATATTATGCATGGATTACCAACTCATTTGTACATGTCTTATTCACTCATTGTTAATATCTGTATTTGTGAATGTCATTGTTTGTGCTTATAAAAAATGAAAAACTCAATCAAGATATTGTTTTGTTTTTTTAAACTGAAAAAAACGTTGCCCTCAAGATATTCTTGCAACATGAAGATGCTTCAAATCAGCTGCAAAATCCCCCCTCACCAGGCTGTAGATCATCTCATAGATCACTGCTCCCAGACACCACCAGTCCACGGTCCGGTCGTACGCCTCCTTGCGAAGAACCTCTGGTGCCAGGTACTGCAGACAGACAGAGCGGGAGTGGCATATTCTCTTTTTACAACAGCTATCCCTTTCAATCCACATTAAATACCTAACCATGTATGACGCACAGTATTGTGTATGACAGATAATTAATCTGATGTCCTTTTCCTGTTTACATGTATATTTTTTACGCACTTCTGGAGTCCCACAGAAGGTCGAGGTTGTGCCCTCGGGCTCTATTCCTTCTTTGCACAGCCCAAAATCTGTCAGCACCACATGTCCCTGCACACAACAAACCACATCTATATTTTAGTTACACACATATAATAACAATAAAAACATGGAGGAGTTGAAGATTACTGAAGTAAATGTGTTGTTTTAGACTCACCTGAGAGTCGAAGAGAATATTCTCCGGCTTGAGATCTCTGCAAAGATAATAAAAAGCAGATTGTAATGATAGTAAAAGAGATCTGAGTTTCACAGTAAAAACCAAAAGCCTCTAGATAACGATATGACCCAGGATAATTCAATAAATGTGTGTTGATTCTGACCTGTAAACGATGTTAAGGGAATGAAGATAGCCGATGGCGCTCGCTACCTCGGCCGCATAGAATCTGGCTCTGGGCTCTGAGAAACACCTCTCTCTCTGCAGGTGGAAGAAGAGCTACAGAAAGAGAAAGAGGGGTTGATGGACAGTTTAGTTTAGTTTAGTGTTCATTGTTGTCTTAGTTCTGTTATAACGCCTTGTGCGGAATGCTTTGGCAATACTATGTTTAAAATGTGGTCATGCCAATAAAGCCCCTTTGTATTGTATTGTATTGTATTGTATTGACAGACAGCATGGAGAGGATAGAATAAAATGACATTTAAAAAGAATAAAATACTTTAAACCAGCTGTCTGGGTAAACATGTTTGTCCACACACAGCAAAGTGTCTGTTGGCTGCTCGCCTGGTAGCTGTGATTTCATTTGATAAGCGTCAATAAAGGATTACCTATTAGGAAATTGTTACACTGCAGCCAGCGGAACAATAAGGAAAAACACTTTCCACAAACAAAATGTCATGATGTTAAACTAGGCTTACTCCCGTTTGATCACAGTGGGGACTTTTCTGGTATGAACAACCCTGTTTTGACGTGCTTTTCCATATAAACAAACTTAAAGTCGAAAGAGACAAGAAGAACAATCTTTTTTCTTTTTAGAACAATAAATGAATGAAGAAAAATAGATCAAACAATCACTGCTTAATAAAACATTTGAATAAAAAAACAATAATAAAGTAATGAATCACCATTTCTGACCATGTTCGATACAAATAATGTTTTTTTATGTACATACACTGTAGATATTTAGTTTTGGACACATACCTCTCCCCCATTCACATAGTCGAGGACAAAGTAGAGCTTCTCTGCAGTTTGGAAGGAGAAGTGGAGCCGAACCAGAAAGGGATGTTTCAGACTCTTCAGCAGTACATTTCTCTCAGCCATAATGTTCTTTTGCTAAAGAGAGGAGACGTTAAATAAAATCACACAACTACACCAGTAGAAAACCTATTTTTCTATACCCTGTGTAGTCAAGAGTGATTTGTAATGCCTGTGGGGCTCATTTGTTTGCAGGAAACATTTGAACTTGTCACAAAAAAGCACCCATTTGAATAATTTAAATCATCTTTTCCATAAAGCTTCTTTGATGTTATTTTGCTGTGAAGCATTTTAGTAGTGCAGTACAAATAAGCTGCGAATATCATCAGATCTTGTCTGATTTGAGCGTCTAGAGTTTCAATATTTTATTTCTATATTTAATTTCTGCTTTAAAAAAACAACAATGATGAGCAATTTGATAGTTTTGTTAAGTTGCTTTTGTTGTAAAACTTAAAATATAAATTAAAAAGGTAATCATTTGATTAATAACATGACCAAGAGGAAGTCATGTTGTCCAAAAACGACATGAAAGCTTTTTGCACACTTCATCTTTATATTTAATTAAAAATATTATTTAAAACTTTATTTTATTAATCAACCAGGGTTTTTGATACATGTCTAAATGCTGTTTCAGATTATCTTCCTAGGGAGGCAAAGGTCACCATAGTCAACCGTTTTCTATAATTTAGACATCTCAGGCATTTAAGTTTTCAGAAGGATTTAAACAGAAGTAAATACTTGAACACTTCCAATTTAGCTAAAGCAAGCTAATGAAATGAGGACACGTGTGTGTGCTCAGATTTTCTCGTTGTGTTGTCATTTTATATTATTGGAGTTGTAAAATATGTCCTTTGTACAGAACAAGCTGCAGATTAGATAAGATTCAGATCATGTTGCTGCGTCAAAACACTGTTTACTAATAACAGACACACACACACACACACACACACACACACACACACACACACACACACACACACACACACACACACACACACACACACACACACACACACACGCACACACACACACATTTTCACCTGGGTTAATTGAGCTACTTTCCACCACAATCTACTCTCCACTGTGACTGGCAGAGAATTTCGTAGATTGTTCACATTTATATCAGGCTATATGTAAAAAGTAAGCTTTATTTCCAATTTTTCCAAATATCTTTGGCTTTTCAAGTAAAAACTGTGTGCCTCTGAAAATGAAAAATCTTCTTTATCATATTCAAGAAAGAAGTTAAACACAAAATGACTAAGGCAAGGTTTAGTTTCTCTTAGCGTGGATGCTGGGTCTATAAAGGACTTTCTACAAAGAGGTTAGAAAGCAAGAATCAACCATCATTCAAAATAGAAACTTGAGTGGGAAGCAGAGCGCACCTCTTTCTTCTTGAGGATGACTTTCTTCTGCAGCACTTTGACGGCGTAGAATTTGCTGTCGGCTTTGAGCTTGGCGAGCAGGACCTGCATGAAGGTGTGTTGGTGAGAGGTTTGTTTAGTAAACAGCCTGAGCCACCATCTCGTCACCACATTTCATCAAACACAACACAGATATAGTATGTGATCTGTGGAAACAGATGATACTGATCAATCTGAGAAGAGCCATGAAACAAGGTCTGACAATGACCCATAGCCAATAAAAAACATTTAAATGTCATTATTCTGAAGGAAAGTAATTGAATATGTTTATTGTTTTCTTTAAATGGAACACATCTCTGGTGCTGTTCAATTTTCTAGTATTTTGATCGTGATATTCTAACCTCAAGAGGCCTCAGAGGGTAAAGTAAAGTTAATGATTCATGAAGCAGGCAGGACATTCTGATCAGACAGGAGTCAGAGTCCTGTCTGCAAAGTCAGCAACAGCCCACTATCTCACACTGTCTAAGAAGGTCAACATGATACAATTGCTGCCATTAATGAGATCCCCCTCAGGATAGGTAACGCATCATTTATATGACCCCCAATATTCATTTCTGCAACAGGGACTATCATTTGACACAACAGCAGACTTGGTCTAGTTTAAACTGCTTTTACTGCAGCTGAATGTGTGACCTGAAGGAGTAGCAATAAAGAAAGAGCTGGAAGGAAAAACAATAATAAATAGATAGATAGATACATAAGTAATTATTCCAGTGTCACCTTTCCAAAGGTCCCTTTTCCAATGACAGCCAGGAAGTCAAAGTCAGTGGGCCTGGCACTAAGACAAGATAGAGAGAAGTCTCTTCAATTGTGGGCAAAAGTACATAACAACCTCTGACGCACTTTATTTGTAATGGCTAACAAATGATAGAAAACCTAGCAGCAAAAACAAATGATATTTGGTTTAAATAGTCTCTTTGTCCCTTTAGGAAAATGGTTTTCATAACAGAAAATGCAGATTCCAATACATTATTGTTATTCTCTGTGTAATTTTGACTGAATTCAGTCTCAACATCTTCTGAAAATGTCTCATCCAGACAGCTGAAAATGTACTTTGAGCAGAGACAGCACTAGTGTATTTTAGCTAGATTTGTAGCAAACTATCTTGTGCATGAAGACAAAGAGCAATCCATGCTTCAGTGAGAGCAGAGCTACTGACTGTGGGTTTGCTGAAGGTCCCAGGTTGACTTCATCATGAGAAGAGGAGGATGGTGACCGCAGCTGGAGGACAAATAAACACAAAACAAGTCAAAAAAAGACTAAAATAAATGTGTATTCACGATGAATACAAAGTTTAGACGTAAAGAACTTTGTATTGACATCCTAACACAAAGTTTAGATTTCAAAACAGTACAGAAAACCAAATGGTCACAAACACTATCCATTACACAGAAGTTGATCAGGGCCCCAAATAAGGAGAAAATGAGAGGAGAAGGATTTTTTAAATTTATTTAGCATTTAAATAATTCACAGGACTCACAAAAGGCGCCAACGCTTGTAGGTTAATTAATGCTCCGAAATGTAACATTTATTCACATCATTTCTTACTTTATTCTCAAAATGCAATAAAAAAATGTACCCATATACCTGGGTAAGTGTTTTTAAGACAATTAATCTCCATTAAATGGTATCATGGGAACAGTGGCGCCGAAAGGGAAGCAATGTTAAGCCTGATGATGAAAACACGAGGATCTGAGTCACATTGCATGATCACTGTGAAGTTACAGAACTTTAGATAAAAAGATCTCCCTGTTAAAGATCATCCATTTGATATATGAATGCACTAAGTGATCTGCTTTAGGCAGTGGAGATATCTTCTAAAGACATGAAATCAGGTTTGGATAAGCTACACAAATGCCCACAGTCATCCCAGATGTCCCTGAATGTATCGCTAATAATAATTTGCTCACAGACTAAAGAGGCGGCAGATGGCCTAAATGAAATGAAGTAAAATCGTCATGCAAACAAAAAAAACACACTCACATTACAGTTTGCCGTGGCCATTATCCATTCCACTCCCACTGATCCAGCATCAGTGTCTGACAGACCTGTGAGCAGAGATATTAAGGGTCATGAGGTGAGCAGAGGAGCCTTTAAACTGTTCTCATTTCACAGATTTTGTCGTGTGTGTGTGTGTGTGTGTGTGTGTGTGTGTGTGTGTGTGTGTGTGTGTGTGTGTGTGTGTGTGTGTGTGTGTGTGTGTGTGTGTGTGTGTGTGTGTGTGTGTGTGCGCGCATGCGTGTGTGTGTGTGTGTGTGTGTGTGTGTGTGTGTGCGTGTGTGTGTGTGCGCATGCGTGCATGTGTGTGCGTGCATGCGTGTGTGTGTGCATGTGTGTGTGTGTATGTGCGCGTGTGTGTGTGTGTCCTAACCATCTGCTGACCTCAGTATGATAACATGAGGATCCAGAGGAGCTGGTACTTCTGGTTTGTAATGAACAAAATGCAGGAAGAACAGAATCACAATGAAGGACATTGTACATGTGTTCTGTGTGTGAGTGTGTGTGTATCTGTGTGTGTGGGGGGGGGTGTATCAGTGAACACGTTTACACAGTAAATATTGTTGTGTTATACACAAAAATGAAACAAAGTCTCAATGATCCCAGTTGTCTTCCCTAAAAAGCTCCAAGCCGGTTCATTATGCATGAAGTCTACAGAACCTTTGGATTGCTTTTTTTGCTGATTTATAAAGTTGTGATAAACAGACATTTTGAAGACACACAGATTTACATGAACTTTACCATACTTTAGGAGAAAACACTCAAAGCAAGAAAATAAATCACTATGCGCAGGTAAATCTAGGGAACTAAATGTCACAGTTACTATACATTTCTGGAACAAAAAGCATTAGCTCACATTTAAACACTTAATTTCCTTGAACCAGAAGCTGAGCTTCAACTATTTTTCTCTACAAAAAAATCTAAATTGTACTGATGTTTATGGCAGTTGACCCACATTAATATCTACATGAACCAAACAAGTGATTCACACTGCACAAGTAAGGTTACAGCCAATAAGGATGTTATGCTTTCCTAGATATTTCCGAACAGTTTTCAGAACACAAGAGCTTGCCTTGCACTGAATTTCCCATAGTCTTCCTCAATAATCTGGTGTCAGTGCCTAGTATTTTTGGGATTTGACCATTTGTATTAATTCTCGAGTAGTAACAAATATTTGGTATTCTTCCACTCCGAAGTGAATCTTTGTTAAATCAACTCCAAAATCTGACACACTGAATCTGACAAAACCAACTTTCCAACACTAACTTGCAACCTTAACAAAAGAACCATTATCAATAAGACTTTCGCAAGAATATTCTAAAGGAAATAAATATTGCAGGAGACAAACCCACAGATTACATATAAACTGACTATTTGGCGCACCGCAGAAAATGATGTCAAGAAAAGAACAATTTAAAGACATAAGTTGATACGTATAAACAGAGACTTAAAGACCAATACAATGTGTCTAGACAGCCTGACCCCTGCATAGACTAAAAGCAGAGGCGTAAAGTAACAAAGTAGATTTACTTAAGTACTGTACTTATATAGAATTTTGAGACACTTATACTTTACTTGAGTATTTTCATTTGATGCTACTTTGTACTTCTACTCCACTACAATGCATAGGTTAATTACAGATGAATATAATGAACACTTAAATAAGACTTTAGGCAAAGGAAATACAATTATAGCTGCATATTTTGAAATGGGCCAATCTGCATTATAAGTACTTTTGCTACTTTAATAAGTATATTTTTATGCTTTTACTACATACTTGTACTTATAATTAGCATTATAATATTATAAGCTAATAGCAGGTTGATTAGCTGAACAATAAAACTCAGATAAAGAGAGACGTGAGAATATTCAAGTTTCCTGTTATATCTCCAAAAATAGAAAATAAACACTTAGTAATTGTATAATAATCAGTGTGTCGATAATCCAGGTGACGTGTGAAACAGCGGAGTGTTCTCACCTGTGTGCCGAGGAAGAGCGTGCTGCTCCGTTGAGGACTCAGAGGACACTGAGCAGCGGGTCTCAAGTCAGGGTTTATTGTTTATGGTCATGAAGGAAGGTCGACTTCAACAGTGAATCATTAATTAACGAGGCGGAGAGAGGTGTGTACGCGTGTGTGCCCGCGCGCGTGTGCGCGTGTTGGAAAAGGAGAGAGTTGGCTGTCCAGACCAGTCCAGACTTCAAAATGATTGTACTTCCGGATTCTGCTCTTCGCTTTCAAAATAAGACAATTAGCCAACACTGTTAAGGACCTTTATATTGTGTAGTAATCAATAAAAAAAAAAAGTGAATTCAATGTTTTGTAAAGATGGTGATTGCGAAAAATGTTACTGTAACTAATGTAGATTATTATTAGCATGACTGCTAATATTACATATTATTAAAAAGTGTATGTATAGGCTACAAATATTGAATAAGATAGTTATTACAACCCACTCCTCTTACCAGCAGTTTCCAAGAAAAAAGTTGAGTTCATTAGAAGGCAGATTATTTTCTCCTCAAAAGAAATGGAAATGAATATTCAAAATGTTTTCATGTCAAGATTTTAACCGCTGCTTTAAGATATCTCCTAATTCACTGAATACATTCTCTGTGAAAGTAGAAATCTTGTATAACTTGGATTTTAAAATGCATAAGGCTCGATTTGATTTAAAGTCATTCTCAAAATAAGTATGTTATACTACAAAGTGTCCAACATAAGTAATAAATATGTTAGACACTTTATAGTGTCCAACACTGCACATTTCCCAGTTATGACATCAACAATTAAGAAGCAGCAAGCAATTTAGCTTTTTGAAATGTGTTGCATTTTCCACTCCAGTATACTTTTATTTTGAAGGCAACACAGCAGGAGTCTCTGGCCTCCTGATCATCCTCTCATGTTTGACACACTTACCACCCAACAATAATTTTGTATTTTCATAAGGTTTAGTGGGTCATCATGTTGTTTTTCTGTCCTCTGCATTGGAACAAGAAGATAAGTGGTGAGAGCAGGAAGGGTGTGAGAGGATTTGTCACCACCACAGCCAACTGTTGACGACAATATGGTGAATAGGGGGATGTGATATGAGCAAAGTAAGTTTATAGTCAATAGACCAACACAGACACGCACCTGCACAAGAACAGGAAATGCAGTGTGTAAAAAAGACAAGAGGCTGCGGCTTTAATCAGACAAGACAGCTTTGGATGTTTATTAATTCATATGGACTGAATGACATTTGTGACCCAAGATTATCTTGACACGCGCACACGCACACGTACACGCACACGCACACACACGCACACACACACACACGCACGCACACACACACACACACACACACTCACATACACACAAACAAACACATACATACACACATAAAAAATCCCACCAGAGAGACAAACAAAAAAGATTCCAAGAGCCCTTAAAACACTCTAGTAAAATGATTTTATCTCAAAATGTTGTATTCATACATTTTGTTTTTTAAACCATTTCTATAATGTAAACATTTTAGTGTTGTTGATTCCATCACATGTAAACTGCAGAGAGCTTCATGGACTAGATACATAATCCATGTTTATAGTGCCAAAATGTGTATTTTTGCACTCTAGTGACCAAGTGTGGGAGCACAATTGTGTAAAATCCATTTGGGTTTCACAGTTGTGCTAAAAGGCCAATGCAAAATGTCCTTTTCATCTATTAAGACTTGCAAACAAAATAGTTTAAGATCTTTTGCATATATATATAAAAACTCAAAACACTCTGTTCTTTGACTCAGATACTTTAAAATATTTTTAAATTACAGCTCCTGTATCACTTGAGTCTTCACATTAGCAGTGCGGTTAGAAAGTACAGTGTTGGATAAACTCAAATATCAAATACTTGAGAAAGAGTGGGAAACTTTAAGTGCTTTTCCGTCACAAACGTTAGTCTTTTCCCAACAGTGTCAACATAGCAGCTTTTTAATTTAATTTTCATTTTATTCTGTTACAGAATAATTTGATGAACAGAAAGAGCTGTAATATTTAGCTTTCCCTATTACAGTACTTTTGTCTTTACTTTTTTTATTGCACATAACATGAGGCTTGTAGGAGCCTCACTGACCAGCCTTGTCTACTGCCTTTTGTACCCCCCCCCTCCCCCCACATCCACAGTCTTCTCTTTTCCCTTTTAGTTAACCAATGTTGTAAATCCAGTTGAGTCCGAATCTCGGTATGTCTTGTAAAAATTGTCACGTGTACTTTTTTATTTCCATAACTTGTCTGACAATGTTGGGGAGTTACTAGTTCCATGTAACAAGCATTCTTTTATTATACTATAATAACTATAGTTGTTAGTTACTGAGAATCAAACAGTTACTAATCAAGTAATCTGTTAGAAAAGTAATGATGAAGGATTTAAAAGAGACACTACTTTTTTTTGTTTAGGGTAAGTAATCTGTAACCTATTACATGTACAAAGTAATCTTCCCAACACTGCCTGTGTTAAGGCCTGCATCAATATGAGTGATTCTCATTCAGGAAGTAAAAGTACAAATATTACTGTAATGGATTTCCTTTTTTTTCTTCTTCTAACCTCTCTCCTTTATTTCCTCTTTAACCCTGATCGCACCTCACCCCCCACCCCCCTCTCTCTGATGGGTACAGGACACCAAACACATGAAAAAAGGGGTCAGGGTCTTTTTTCCCTGTAACAGAATGAATTTGGCACGTGATGATCCCAGGTCAGGTGAGGGCGGGATCACTTGAGTACCTCGTCTGTGCTCTTGAACATGAGGATGGCGTTGGAGATCTTGAGGGCGGGGCCTAGCTTGATGCTCATGATTTTCACAATGTCGGTCTGGGTTAGCAGCAGAAAGGCCTCGCCGTCAATCATCTGGAGGGGGGGGGCACACACAACTGTCGTGATGCAACTCAAGATTACAGGTTAGGAAAAAACCTTAATGTTTTGGTCTTTTCCTCTGCTACTTGGGGTATCAGATGGATGGAGGACGTTTTGAGGAAGCTAAATTATGTTATCTTAACTCTAACTGTTATCAAGATCAGTTGTCGGTCTGGGTCTGTCAGAAAAAAAGGTTGTGATGTATTTATTTAAAACCTCAGAGACCTGCACTCGAGGTGAAATACTTTTGAGTTTTTGTCTTAAAAATTCCTTTTATGTTATGAATTGTATGTTTTTATCTTATTCTTTTCTTATTTAATGAAGTATGTTTTTATTCTCCATAATTATGACAATCTTTGCCTGTTTTATGTTCATTCTATTGTCTATTTTCCCCTATTGTAGATGATGATCATTATTTATGTGTTGGCATTTTCCTACCTTTATTGGGCAGTTAATGTGAGGAGGAAAAGGTAGAAAATGAAATAAAGTTGAACTGGAATTGAACTGGAAAGGATGTGGCTTCTGAGCATTTTTGGAAAACTTAATCAATTGTACTTAGTTAGAAACTGTTGCAAATACATCATCATTATGTTTTTAAAGCCAAAAAAAAAAAATGGTGACATACTATTCATCAGCAAAAAGGTAACAGACTGTTGGAACCTGACAATAAATACTGTATAGGCCCGTCTACATTTGGGCATGTGTAGAGCATAAAATGTGGTCTCACCTCTTCTTTGAAGAGACAAGCCTGTTCTTCACAGCCGATTAGATTCTGTACAAACATGAAGACCTGTGGCACAAAGACATCATTTTCAAATTTCAAATAATCAAACCAACCAACCATTTACAGTATAGATATATAAATATATGGGTAAGTGCTGAGGTTTTCTCACCTCTTCCACGCTCCATGCTGCCACCTGGCTGGCGTGAATGCCCTGAACGCCGGGCAGCAGCTTACAGTGCTGCTCCCAGCAGAGAGACAGAGTCCTGTCTGTCTGACCGCTCAGAGCGGACATGAACAGGGACGGGTACACTCCCTCTGAGGACAGGTCTGAGGACAAACATGCACACACAAACATTTGGCTTAATAATAACAGGAAAAGTAAAAGTCTTTCTAATACTTGTACTGCCATATAGCTACAGACGTCAAAGTTCACTATAGTTGAACCTGAATGTTTTATTCGCCCCTTGGCTCAGATATAATGAAAATAAACGTGATGTGAATTTTGCATATATGTGACATTGCCCTGCCACAAGTTAAATAATGCCTTGAAGGCTTATAACCAACCGTTTGTTATCCGGCATTTTGCCATCGGATCATTTTCATGTCAAAGCGTTAAAATGAGTTAACTAAAACAAGACGGTGTTGTGCCTATGGACAGACATGAGTCAGCAGAGACATGATATCTTTCCACTGAAAGACATGATACGATCCTTAAAGCAGGATAAGGCTACAGGTTTGACAGGCAGACCCCCTTAAGCTGAAGTCAACTAAAATCATGTGAAGGGAATTTCAAAAAACTCACTGTGGTAGTCTCTCTGCTGGTTCTTCCTGTATTTGGGAGGACGGCCAATCCTGAAAACAGAGGAAAAGATGAATGTGAGTCAAAACCAAACGTGAATACACACACACACACACACACACACACACACACACACACACACACACACACACACACACACACACACACACACACACACACACACACACACACACACACACACACACACACACACACACACACACAGAGAGAAAGACACTTCCCAATGCTGCACACAGAGCCGTACCCATAGGGTTCCAGATAGTGTACATGAACTGCATACATACACACTCCTGACGTTTCTGATGCACATTAGCTAATGTGGAAAGACGGCTGTGCTGAATTACCACTAAACCTAATGACTATTTCATGTCAGGATGAGAGGAAGAGCAGAGAGGAAGATGAGAGGCCAGGAACTGAGCATGGATGGATTCAGCAGGAGTGATTCTCCTGATTTCCTTTTCATCCTATTAGTCTCTCGTCATAATAAATAGATCTCAGAGTATGGATGACATTTTTTTTTGTCTGAAATATTTGATGTTATTGATACTTTTAATTTACTTTTAAATTTACCATCTAAGTCTTAACCATGGTTGATCCATTGATTAATTGGTTTTAATTAAAGTGTTTAATGCCGTTCAAGCTTCTGTTTGAATTC